TGAAACCTCAGGGCCACATAACCAAACACATCCCTCAAACATGACAAAGAAACTTCAATCCACCCCACTAATAATATATGTGCGTGTTAGCGTGTATCTGTGTGCCTACGTAAATACTTAACCATATTTTGGAGACAAATTTGAACTCAGGATTAATCTAAATCTGACAAAAATTAATGATTTTTTGCAAAAATGAAGGTTTCTGGTATGATTAGGTTATGATATTTTTAACTATATGTATACATGTATATTCAATAGAAATCTACAGAATGTCCACATTTAGATGACTAAGTAGACATGTGTGCTAATACATGCTGGACCTTTTCTTTTCTTTTTGGACCTAAATTTAAGAAAAAGTTAATACATAAGTAAGAGTATACATTTTTGTAGGGAAGTATTGTACCCTTTTGTAGGGATGTATTGTAAGGCTGACTGGATTGTGTTTATTCATTTCCCTTATTTTTTAAATTTAGATAACTTTTGCCAATTATTATTCAGACTAATTAATGTAGAATTTTCACATCATAATGTCATTTAGTGATTATTGGCCATTACTGGTTATTAGCTTAATTAAAATGGGTGTATCTCTGTATTTTTGTGTGTATTTGCAGGTGGGCACGCAACAGTAATGGGAGACTGGAACTCGCTTGGGAAGCTTTTGGAAAGTGCCCAGGAACACTCCACGGTGGTGGGCAAAGTCTGGCTCACCGTACTCTTCATCTTCCGCATCTTGGTGCTCGGTGCTGCCGCAGAGAAGGTTTGGGGCGATGAGCAGTCCGGTTTCACCTGCGACACCAAACAACCCGGTTGCCAGAACGTATGCTATGATATAACCTTCCCGATCTCTCACATCCGATTCTGGGTGCTTCAGATCATCTTCATCTCCACTCCGACACTGATCTACCTGGGCCACATCCTGCACCTGGTGCGCATGGAGCAGAAACAAAAACACAACGAGGTGGGCGGGATGGACAAACAGGCACTTTTGAGCACCAAATCTGGAAAAGGTCCCATACGTGACGAACAGGGGAAGATTCGTCTACAGGGAGTCTTGCTACGCACGTATGTCTTCAACATCGTCTTCAAAACACTGTTTGAGGTGGGCTTCATTGTGGCACAGTACTTCCTGTACGGATTCGAGCTCAAGCCACTGTACACCTGCAACAGATGGCCCTGTCCCAACACCGTCAACTGCTACATCTCACGACCTACAGAAAAAACCATCTTCATCATATTTATGCTGGCCGTGGCCTGTGTTTCTCTGCTGCTCAACCTGGTGGAGATGTACCACCTGGGTTTCACCAAATGCCGCCAGGGTCTTCGATACAGACGCTCTCATTCTGTCTGCGACACTGAATCTAAAGCGCCTAGTGAGGATGCGGTGGTTCCGTTTGTACCAAACTACCCATATTTTCCACCTCACGCACCACCTCCGGCTCCCTTTCCCACAGAGCCACACTTCAACCTCTCAGAACCCGATGGAACCTTCCCGCCACACGGCAGCCGCTCTGTTTATAAGCAGAACCGTGAGAACATGGCTGTAGAGCGCAGCGGGAAACCGGACGCCGCAGATGTCAAGATCAACAAAACAGCAAATTCTGTCCCCGGATCACCAAGCCAGCAGCGCAGGCCCAGCCATTCAAGTCGATACAGCAACAACAAGACCAGGATGGATGACCTCAAAATCTGACCAGACGCAAACAAGACTCCTCGTTCACTCACAGGCTCTGAGAGCGTGGCAAGAATAAACGTGTCATTTAGAGTGGCATTAGAATCAGGGAGTCCGAATGTAAATTGGTGTGATGCTTTACTTGAATTCATTTTGTGGGAACATTGCAATAACTTGATCATTAATTGAAAAGATTGATGATTGAATCATAAACTAAAATCATATGGAAGCTTTGCTTTGATAAATCATAATTGGTAAGTCAAAAAGTAGAAATTATGATACATTAAGTCAAAATTACGGCATAAAGGATATTATGAAATACAAATCATGGCATAAAAAAAATTAAAAAGTTGAAATTATGTCATCATTTTGATTTCCATAATTATGAATTGATCTCATATTTTGACTTTTTATTTCAGAATTATGAGTTGGTATCTCATAATTTCAACATTATATGTCATAATAATGATTTACCAAAACATGTTTTTTTCTTACGTGGCGGAAAAGGGCTTTCGTAAGGATGATCACTTAAAATGAATTTAAAATGCTTTTCAATTACCAACATTAAAAAACTTAGGAGACTTACGGGTAAAATGTGAACGTTTGAATTTTGTGAGGTTTTATGGGGCGGACTGACTGTGGAGGAAAACTAATTTATTTATTTTTTCAGTGGCAACACTAATCACATTTTACAAGTCAACAGCTTACAACAGTTACATCATCTAGACTTGGCTGACTGTCTTAACCAGGTGTTTACAGTGTGTCTATGGCCTGTTTAATTTTTTTTAACCAGAGAAGTAGTACTGTATGAATGTACCATCCACACATTCTCATGTAAACATGAATGATTTAAAGCAAAGTTGCTATGTGTGTGTTTACTGCTTAAATAAACACTGGAGACTATTCTTAGAGAGCTAAAATAAGTGCCCAGAGACACTTTATGTGTGTGTGTGTGTGTGTGTGTCCGGTTTGAAACCTGAGACAGGTCTGGCAGACGGACGGGAAGGAGCACTGATTGGCTAAATCTGTTACATTGGGCAAGAGTACAGATTGACTCAAGATATTGCCAAAAGCATTTCAGCAGATCCAAAAAGTGTCACTGATGGGTTTTGAGCTGTTATTACCTCTCGAGCTCTGCTCAAAAACCTTGATGTCTAAGCCTACTGTCTTTCAAAAGCAGCATCATTCTGACCCAAAAGAGCCTCAAAAGTGACTGATTTGAAATAAGCTGCAGCTCCATTAAGAGTCACTCATGCGCTGCACAAGCTAATAACTTGGCTACTCACAGACACGCACAATAAATAAATACATATACACTAATCTTGTGAAATGAATATGTATACATTTTCAAACAGACAGAAGACAGAAGGAAGATTAGATACTTCACATTTTATCATTCTGTGGCCTTTTGAAAGTGTTTAATTTTGTTGGGAACCTCACTATCCACCTTATTTTTCAAGGCGGATGTAAGCCATTTTCTGTGAAAGTGAGAGACTTCTGGTTCATTAGCCTCTGTAAGGAATAAAACAAGGTTAAGGCTAAAAGGGATACAGCAAAAACTACTGGGCATGCGTAATTTTTCTCACAATGTACAACAATAATTACTGTTTTTGCATTATTGTAAGGGGTAGGTTTAGGGTTGGGGTAGGTGTAGACGTTAATAAAACACAATCTAACAGGTAGAAAATGTAATTTATTGTTAGCTTCCGTTTTTTGCTGGATCCCTTCTAGCCACAACCAATAAACAAGAATAACAAAGTTCAGTTAACTGTAAAACTGTTTGCATTACAAACTAGTGTATTCATAATTAATAGATTAAATTAATATATAATATTAAAGTAAGATACACCCGTTTGCAATATCAAGCAGCAAAACAAGCTATTTTGTACAGCTAAAAATAGCTGGAAGCGGATGACACCGGAAGCCAGGCCCATTATATTTACAAATGGCCACAGCCACTATTACAACACAAATAAGGTGGTATCCAAAGTTTTGAAACTATACCTTCTAGACTACAACCTCTGCTTAAAGCTGACATGAAATGAAAATGCACCCTATGTTCTAAATGTATGTTTTGTGTGTGAACAATTCATCCATACATGTTTTATAATAATAATAATTAAAGTAAGATACACCCGTTTGCAATATCAAGCAGCAAAACAAGCTATTTTGTACAGCTAAAAATAGCTGGAAGCGGATGACACCGGAAGCCAGGCCCATTATATTTACAAATGGCCACAGCCACTATTACGACACAAATAAGGTGGTATCCAAAGTTTTGAAACAATATCTTTTACATTTTGAAATGCTGCATGACCAGAGACCTTCTAGACTACAACCTCTGCTTAAAGCTGACATGAAATGAAAATGCACCCTATGTTCTAAATGTATGTTTTGTGTGTGAACAATTCATCCATACATGTTTTATAATAATAATAATAATTATTATTATTATTTACCTCATAATTCTTAATTAAAATATCATAACTGATCTGCCGACTTCTCTCTGGTGTTGTATGCTGGACTTAATAATTAAATCTGCTTAAACCTATCCCTCCCCAATTCAGACATCTCAAATTCCAATCAACAACCAACAAAAAGAACGTTTTTTTTTTATTTTTCGATATTCTGTCACAACAAGAAAATATCTGCCAATACTTCCATTTTATTGCGACTAGATGCATCCCAATTTAGAGGATCAAAAGCTGTTTTATCTGAATGGAAGTCAATGGAAAAGAGTTATACAAATTATTGTGCTATAAATGAATTTCTTTTGTGTGGAATCCATGTGTTGCATAATAAATCTACAGCTTTGTAGCTCATCTTCAGTGTTTGCCATTACATTTTCATTTTGAAGCGATCTAGAACATGCTTACAAATAAAATCAAAGCCAAAAGTGGGATTCATGATCAGCACTTTCGATGGTCTTGATTAGGATTATGTACGGTCAAAGTCAAGACCCAGGTTACAATCTCCCCCTTTTAAGAAAATTGTGCATGTCTCACAACAGATGCTGCCATAGAGGCAAGAGTCAGAGGACACAATGTCAAACTGTGCCAACATGACCGTCATAAAATATGTAACCTTCCTCATGTGGCTGATCAAAGGCAGCTGAAGCAGCTCACAGCAGGGACCTGTCTGCATGCCTGCAGTTGGGATCGATCACACTATTGACAGCACTGTGGAAATCCTGCTTATATTGTTCTCAGAGTAGCAGAAGGCTGTGATATTCCCATGTTCCTGGATCAACATCAATGTTGCTCCTAGAACAACATAAGAGATAGAGAGAAAAAAAAAGGGAAGATCCTTTCTTCATACATTTTATTTTATCATTACATTTTCATAATGTGACAGTTTATGAGGCACAAACAGATTGTAACAAAGTTATATATTTAAGACAAAAAAAAAACATTAAAAAAACTAAAAATTAAACCGACCACACTATTACCCTGAAGTACATGAAGCGAACATCAAATGTTCAGCAAGAACAGTACGAGAGCGACTCTGAGATGTAATACTAATCATTTATCTTTCAATGCAACTCCTTCTGCAAGTATTTCTATGGAATTTGTGGTTAGTGTGCAAGAATACAAAACCAAAACAACAGCTTCCTTAGATGACCAACCAATCGAATGGAAAATACGCATTACGGCTTCCTACTCTGAGGTGCCTTTAGCTTCAGAAGAACATAATTACTTTATTACACACAGAACGAAAAACTTTGTTTAGCCGGTGTAGACCTGACACAACGTCAAACGGAATAACCACAAAACACCAACTTCCCTTTCTTGCACTCATCACCACAAGCTCTCAACATTTACACAAAATTCTAAATTAAGAACGATTCTGCATATCCATTTGTCCATTTTAAGCATCATACAACAACTCTTATGATAGGTGAAGTGATTTATCACTTAATGTTTCTTACAGCTTCCGACTACATGAACTGACAGAATAATTACTTATACACTTTTTGCATATCATTTACAGCGCAACAGTTCTAAATATTTTTCTTGCTAAAGCATTTCAGTATGTTCTCTATGATATTTTTTTAATCTGTAAAATAATGACAGAAAATATATTTCTTGTTTTATGACAAAATTCAAATATATTTTGATACTAATCTCCAAAACGATTGCGAAACATGTTTAAAGATGAAATAGGTTTCATTAAATGGAAGCACTTGTGATCGTACTGAAGTCCTGAATCAAAAACCAATAAGGCATAAACCACAGATTTCGGTTTGTAGACACAAACACATTCAGTGAATCAGAATTACATGACTATAATCTGGAATAATACAGACCATCAGTGCAGTGGAATGTGATATGATGTGGACTAAACTCCGCCTCCTCATTAGCATAACCATTCTGGGCATTCCTAATCAAGCCTCTACAGAAAGAAGGAAAGAATTTCATAGCTCATTCGAGCAAGTTACGTAATGTAAAGCGACATGCGTGTTATGGAACAAGATATTTTGAATGAATTCTCAAACAATAGAATTTTTTCAGCCATTAGCAGTTGATTTCCCTTACAATCATCCTTCCTTTTGTGGTCCTACATGTCAGGCTGGGAATGACAGACGTAGTGCATGTGAGCTGTTTCGAGGTTACTTAATGGATAAAGCAGGCAAAGCCTTTTCATGCCGTCATCCCAACTCACACATTGCCATTTATATTATTTATAATATAATACCTCATCTATATTACATCAAAATACCTGTTTTTCTTCATACTGTGCAATCTCTGAACATTTTATACTTCAATTATTTTCTTGGGGGTCCCTTTGATTTGTACTTGTGCATCTGTATATAAATAAAACAATTTCCTCATCTGTAACGGACATAAGCGTTTCACAAACACTGACCTGTACAAGTCGCACAGAAAAGAGAAAGAGGAAGGGAGAGGGTTTATGGCTTTAAGGGCAGTGTTTTGCTGTGATTGCTCTGATATAGTGTGTTAGTGTGCATCTTTAAGCTGGTTTTTGCGTGCATGTCCGATCAGAGAATCTGTGTCAATGGCCCGTTCGAAGAAGCGAACGACAGACGGTTCATTCAGGAGAGACGCAAGAATCTGCTCGAAGGAGAAACTCCAGTCCCCGTCTCTGACTGCAGAGGGCGAGCTGGGGGTGTCTGTTGGCGTGTCCAACACGGGGCTGCTGGTTCCGGTGGGACTGCTGGTGGGCGTGGAAGGACGTGAGGTTGAGGTCGGGGTAATGTCAGAGTGGGATGGGGCAGTTTCTTGTTGATTGGCCTGAGACTCGGGTTGGTCGCCTTCACCCTCGGCGAGGGTTTCGGTCTCAGGGCTGGTGGGTAATGTTGGGGAGGTCTCTGGCTGAGCCGTGCTGGTGGGTGTACTTTGGGGCGTTTTCTGAGGGCTGCTCTCCTGTAGCTTCCGCCCTACCTCCTCCATGCGCAGCAGAAGACTGGTCACTCGCGCCACAGCACGGTACAGACTCTCCTCCTCCTCGTTGCCATGGAACACACCGTACAGTGTCTTCGTCAAACCAATAAACTGCACCTGGAACACAGTCGATACAGTCTCTTTAATTAAACTGAACTGTGTTTACATGGCTTAAATGTGGTCAGAAATGACAACAAATCACTATAGAGTTTACCACGGATAACATTCCTATTATACTTCAATAAGACAAGTCTCCACTTGAGTTTGTATGTGTTCAGAACAGTGAGAGCAGACAGACTATGGCAGAGAACAGGAATAGAACTGTTCTGAACAAGGTCAGTGAGCAGAGAATGAACGCTGATGACACTGTTGTCAAACACCTCAAAGTACTTGTGGAATCATCACTGATCAGGACAAAGCCAACCAGGTGCTGTACTTAAATAAGAATGAGCAACATTCATACATTGTTTACATTCAGATCAAAGCGTAAACAACGTATCCGTTTACATACGTTTTTTACGTATGTGATACGTGTCATACGTATGTGACGCAGAGGAAACGAATTGTTGAATAAAGTCATTATTTTTGTTTTCTTTGCACATAAAAAGTGTTCTGGTAGATTCGAAAAATTACGGTTGAACCACTGATGTCACATGGATTAGTTTAACGATCTCCTTGCTACGTTTCTGAGTCTTGATCGTGTAAGGATCCTTGCTGTCTATGGGAGGGTCCGAGAGTTCTCGGAATTCATCAAAAATATTTTAATTTGTGTTCCGAAGATGAACGAAGGTCTTACGGGTTTGGAACGACATGAGGGTGAGTAGTTAATGACAGAATTTTTATTTTTGGGTGAACTATCCCTTTAATGTACACAGATCAGCTATACATGAACTGGAAAAATCTCAGCCATAAAGACGTGAAAAGCCATCGTTCAGTCATCATTAAATGGCTCGCTGAACAAAGCCATTTAACAAAAGCCATTAACAAAGGAAACAAAGACATTTCAGATTCTGACCACATCTTTGGTGCGTGTTTACCTGATGAATTCTGGGCAGATCTTTAATATTCTCCTCTCTCCGCTGCAAGTCTTCCTGCCACTGTTTCAGATATTCCTGCAGATCTACTTTAGCACGACCTGAGGGGCAAAATACAACAGATTTTTAACAGTGCCTTAGACTACTTTATTCTGATTCTTCAATGACAGCATTCTGTGGTCAATTATTATTGTATAATAATAACCCATAATAAACTCTATATTTGACTTAAGTGCCTGGCAATCAATCTCTTTTTAACTCAAATATTTTATGTCCATTTATTTATCAGGTAGCCAAGCAACAATGCACAGTCATTTGGTCATTGCACAGTGACCCTGACAACCCTGCTATGGTTTATTTGTGATATAGTCTGATATGATAAAGAGAACATGATTAGAGGACAGGGATGAATACTTCACCTCTCTCTGGACATTTTCTGATCACTCCATCCTCTGCAGAGTCTACATGGAAGAGAGGGAAAAATGTACAGCCACGAAACACAGAGACACTCACATGCATGAACAGATATACATGCATACACATAGTCTATATGGTTTTCAGGGTGGGCAGGGTTTTGAGCTTCTGCTTCTTGTAAAACACCAAAATGAGGTGTGTTTCTAGAAATCAAAGCTTTTTGGCAGTTAGGTGAGACAAGTCCCTCTTAAACACAAATACAAATGCTACACACAACACACAAACATTTAAAAATACACATAGGAACATAAAATAAATCAGTGACATTATAACACACCCAGGCGAAAGAAGAAAGAGTGAAAAGTGAATGAATGAATAACGAAAGAAATGAATGAATGAAATGAAAAGAAAGGAGGCATAAGGAGCCACAGAAAGCAGTGGAAGCTGACCAGAAAGACGAGTAGAGAAAGAGTGATCTTCAGCCGGAGGAAAAAATCTAGACGACGGTAAAATCGTACACTGCTGGGTCCCTGAAGAAACACACAAAATATGCATATATGCACACATTCTACTTTTATTCGAATCGGTAAAAAAGTGTCAGTCATGATCTGTCATAAGTTATGGATAAATCTGCACTTGTCAAAATTGCCTATTGTTTTAAAAAGGCACAGTCACACAAACATGCTACATGAACTTATCACCATAAAGAGTGATGGATTATTTAGATAAAGTGCTGGTATCTTAGCAGTTACAGATCCAGACTCATACTACATTGGCCCTATATTGCTATTATGCCCTTCAGCCAAGCATAAGCATCACAAAGTACTAAATGTACTTTAAGATCCTTTGGATCAAAACAAAAGTGTCAAATAACTAACTAACTAACAAAATGTAAAATTTACAAATACAGCAAATAATGAGGAGATGTAGAGGTTAGACATAGATAACACAGGTTCATAGAGGGGGCAGATATATAGATTAAATAGGGTTATAGAGGTGTATAGATTACATATTTGACCCATCTATTACCATGTATATCACTGAGGGGTTAGATTTAAATATTACATAGAGTTACAGATAGGTTAGACATATAGATTATGCAGAGTTATACATGGGTCAGATATATAGATTAAAGGGGTCATATGATGTTGCTAAAAATAACATTATTTTGTGTATTTGGAGTAATAAAATGTGTTTATGTGGTTTAAGGTTAAAAAAACACATTATTTTCCACATACTGTACATTATTGTTTCTCCTCTATGCCCCGCCTTTCTGAAACACGTCGATTTTTACAAAGCTCATCGGTCTGAAAAAGCGAGGTGTGCTCTGATTGGCCAGCTATCCAGTGCATTGTAATTGGCCGAATACCTCAAGCATGTGACGGAAATGTTACGCCCCTCACCATACTGTGATGCTGTGTCCCGGTGCAACACCAATAAAACTCATTATAAACGAGGCATTTGTTGCATCCAGTGGGGACATAATTACTGATTATAATGACTTATACGCGCCGCGTAAACATAAAACCATGTCTGCATTTGAGTCCTCGTCCTCCATAAAATGCGCTGCACACATCTGAATATTTGGTTTGAACTGTTCTGGAACAGTGTTGTAAATACAACTTAACCACTGATTTCTAGTTGTGTCCTCTTTTGGAAGGCCAAACAAAGTAGTTTTGCTTTCACAACTAAACACACAGCGTCTCGACATGGCGGCGGCGGCACCAACAATACTACAGCGAGAATCAAAGTAACACCACCTTTCTTTGCGTGAACATTTGGGCGGCGTTATGCAAATCTTCCCACATCGTGACGTAGATATGTGGGGGCGTGTTAGAACAAGTCATTTTAGGTAGGCGTGGTTGACTCTTAACTTTTATAAAGAATATCTCTTTGGATTTGAGACTTTAGTCTTTGCAACTTTACAGATCTTCTTTATGCACCAAGAGCTTGTAACACTCCAAAGAGAAAGGCAAACTTGAAATCGCATCATATGACCCCTTTAAGAGTTATTGAGCTAAATAGACTGCATAAAGGGTTAGTTCACTTCCAGAATAAAAATTTCCTGATAATTTACTCTCACCCATGTCATCCAAGATGTTCATGTCTTTCTTCAGTCGAAATTAAATCAAGGTTTTTGAGGGAAACATTTCAGAATTTTTCTCCATATAGTGAACGTTAAAGGGACCCAACAGTCTGTAGGTCCAAACTGCAGTTTCAATGCAGCTTCAAAGGTCCTGATCCCAGCAGAGGAATAAGGGTCTTATCTAGCAAAACAATCAGTCATTTTCTAAAAAAAATAAAAATCTATATACTTTTTAACAACAAATGCTCGTCTTGCACTAGCTTGACCTTACGTATTACGCAGTCGCGTTGGAAAGGTCACACACGTGACATAGGCTGAAGTACGAACCCAGTGTTTACAAAGCGAATGTGCAAAGATAGTCAAATGCCCTTTACAAAAAAAAGGTAAAACAATGATATCGGATGATTTTGAAGTTGGAGGAGAAAATGAGATGGAGCTTTTCGCCCTACCCTACCTTTTTGAATCAGAGTACAAAGATGAAGAATTAACCACGCATGACTTTTCCAACAAGATTACTTAATGTGTGAAGTCGCAGACGCACATCGCAGAGCTAGTGCAAGATGAGCATTTGTGGTTAAAACGTATATATATTTTTTCGCTTCACTAATTAAGACCCTTACTCCTCGGCTGGGATCATGTAGAGCCCTTTGAAGCTGCATTGAAACTGCTATTTGGACCTTCAGCTTGTTGGCCGCCATTGAGGTCCATTAAATGGAGAAAATTCCTGGAATGTTTTCCTCAAAAACCTTTTCGACTGAAGAAAGAAAGACATGAACATCTTAGTGTATAGATATACAATATAAAGATTAATCATATGCATGCATAACCATATCTTATGTTCACACTAAGCTTTTATTAATACACAGTGGCAGAGGTCATACAATTAATTTACCTGGTTGAAGGTGCATTTTGAAGAGAAATTTTAGTTTTTCTGTGAAAGGTCTGTTGTACAGGATATCTGCAATACACACACACACACACACACACACACTCTCTTGAATGAATCTGGCAGGTTTAAGGAAAGCTGCTATGTACTGAGGTGAAAGGTCAAAGGGCAGTCAATTTAGTTCAGGGCAGGCTCCTCTTACCCAGACTGCACATGAATTCTTTGAAGTTCACAAGTCCGTCTCCATTCTCGTCCAGAAGCCGGAAGGCTGATCGTGCCAGTGAGCGCACATGCGTGTGTGTGGTCCACGGCTGCAGGAGGTTAAACAGGCTACTAAACTGGGACTGATCTAGCTGATACTGGTCCAGATATGGCAGGCTGGGGTCATGGTTCTGCAGGGCAGGACTACATACTGACCAGTAACAGCTCACAAAGTGCTGCTTCTATAACACACGAACAGTCAAAAGACACAAGCTTTAATAGTCTGTGTGGTTGCAGCAGCATTTTGAGGCCTTCAGGCATGGAAGTGCACAAATTTGTTAGCGCAACTCACCTTAAAAAGCATGTAGAGCTCATCCAGTTGAGCAGCACTGAATTTCACATCTTGAGCAACAACACGCAGCTGCAGCAATAAGACACAAAAATGACAGACAATTAAACATCTTACAATGGACTATAATCTTTATGTGCAAACAATGTGTAAAGAAAAAATTATGCGAATTACACTACCATTCAAAGGTTCTGGGTCGGTAAGTTTTTTCAATGTTTTTGAAAGAAGTCTCTTATACTCACTGAGGCTGCATTTATTTGATCACAAATACAGTAAAACATTAATATTGTGAAATACTGTTACAATTCAAAATATTTGATAATATTTTATTCAGAAATCAACGAACAGCTTTTATTTTAAACAGAAATCTTTCGTAACATTTTTAAATGTCTTTACTGACTCTTTTGATCATAACTCTATGCATGAGGCATGAATGCTGCTTCTGTTTTGTATGTTTTTTTTTCTCCATTATGAATTTGATAATCAGCATCAAAATCTAAAACCTACAAACGCATATGCAGAATCTTCTTCTTTTTTTAATGCTTAGTTTATTATTATAATATATTATGAAATTAAGGAGTATACAGCATGGCTTTTGTACTTACTACATTTTGTTTTGTTGTGTCTTCTAGTGTTTGAATGACATACAGCTTGTTCCTCTTCCGCATGTTTTCCACTTCCTCTGTTCGAATGTCTCCATATTTCTGAAATAAAAAAAAGTTTCATTAGTCTGAGCAACCGTCTATTTTAGACCTTCGGTTTGCTGACCACAGAACTCCTGTCAGAGGGGGGTTTTCATCATTCCATGCAACTGACCAGTTTGAAAGTGCTGAGAAATGTACAGCTTTTCATTGCACATTCAGATTTTACATTCCTATAAAATCTGTCACCATGAGTACAGGTGTAAATTACCAAAGCCTTAACAAATACATCAGATTCATTTTATTAGTCACTTTTACAGAGTGTTTGTTATAAATTCACTACCTTAAAAATAATAAAAATTCTGCGTTTACTACATGTTCTAAAAAAACCAGAGCTAAAGACATAAAAAAGAAAACAGATTTTAATGTTCACTACAGTATATTAAAGTGTGTAGCTTTACCTCATATGCCTCTTTGATGAGATCGCTGATGTCAACCTTTTGTATTGATTTGTCATTGGCTGTTGCAGATGCCTGCTGTACTGTAGCTGGCAGGGGACTGTCTTTATTTGTGACACTGTCAAAAAACCTGAAGGATAAAATCAGATTTAAATACAGGTTAAGTTTGTAAACTAAAAAAAAATCCACTGCAAAAATGAAAGAAGTTGATGCTGTTTACAATTAAACAGCAGCTTGTCACCCAAAGACACTCTTGAGTCCGATCATTCCTGATCTTTGCTGCATGAGTCACATAGCATGGAAGAATGTTCCTTTCAATAATATAATATAATATAATATAAATACATTTTTGTGACACCTTTTCTGTTTAAAAATCCCCCTTTTAATTTTATATTGCACATAACATAATGACAACACAGCTTGCTACAATCATGCTTTGGCCATGTTAAGAGGACAACGTTCCAATCACCTGTTGAGGACTGTGACAGCTTCTGCGTCGTCATGGCAACAAAGAAGATTGTCCATATTGTAGTCAAGGACAGCAAGGCCAAGCTGCAGAATGGCTTTGATACCATCATAAAAGAAGCAGTCGACAACATTCACAGCGCTCTCTATTGGCAGTACGCTGATGAAGAGAGTCAGGAACCATGACAACGACACTGACGAGAAGAATGACAGGTCTGTCATGTGTTCGGTCAGCTGGGTTAGATGCTCACGGATAAGTTCCTCGAACACAGCCTGGTCCACCAGGGCTCCTGGAAAACACACACACTGAGACATGAATAATACTGTATTCAAAAACAAATAGATTCAGTAAACTGCCACTGCAGCAACAAACAGAATGACACAACTAATCACAGACAGAATAGGAGGAAGTACATAACATGAAAAAAAAATTGTGGAGCACCTTAACAAAGCTCAGTAATTATAATCCAATTATGACACCATTGGCATTGTGTTATTATGGCAGCCTGCAAATTTATTAAGATGAGTCAATCACCTCCCGGGTATGAGATGTGTATAACCACACATACACACACACATACCAATAATTCTACGGTTGAAGTAGTCTGGGAGCATTCGTTCACACACAGCGACCAGCAGCCAGAAAGCCTCTTCTTCTTTAGCATACAGCAGCAACACAGACGTCAGGATATTCATCGCCTGGACAGACCGACAAAACAACATGATACAGTTATAATATATGAAAACTAAATTATTATTAGAATGAGCGGAAGTAGAGTTTTTAGTGAATAAAGTGAAAAACACAAATTTGCATTTAAAATGACAGATATTTTTGAGTCCCTTTTTTAGAGTTTGTGACATAGCTGTACATGCAGATTGAATATAAACAAAAATAATTTGGCTTCCATAGCAAAAAAAGTATATGCATTCACCATATTCCTTGAATACTTCACTTTGCATATTTCCCATGCTTCTTATACTTTGCATACACCAAGTTTTGATTACCAAAAAATTATTTCTTTCTGTTTCTGTTTTGCACACAGAAATATTTTTAAATGAGTTCTATTTATGTTCTTTATTACCATAGATTCAGCTGGTTTTAATTTTCCTTGTTTTATTAAATATTTAATATCAAATATTGATGCAATGTGTGTAATGAATAATTGTGTTTATGCTAGTCTTGCAGATAATACTGTAGGTTGTGCATGAGGGGGATGTTGAATATACACATATTGTACACCAACATAAAGTCTGATTCACTTTGAAGCTACAACCAGTCACTTAAGGCCCCATTATTCTTTAAGCAAAGAACATAATTTAAAACAAAATCAGGCCTAAACAAAGGGCCTTCAGATATGCTAGGATCATCTGATTGACATGTAAACACTTGCTAAGTGAGAATTTATCAAAGATTTTACGCCATGAACCTCATACACCAACACAAACCTGGGCAGCTTGAAATTGTGTTGACATTCAATCAGAGTGCAACATGAGCAAGCGTTTTAACAAATTTGTGAACAGGATGAATCAGATGTTCTATGAACTGTGCAATTTGATGCTGAGACCATGTGTTAGAATAGATGAAAATGTTACGTGTGTGTTTTCACCTGGCAGTAGCCGATTTTGGGGTTGCGATGAGCGTAGGCAGTCAAGACGCGGCGAAGAGCCGAGATTCCAGTGTCGCTCTGGAATGCTGGGTGTTCTGGGAGTGAGCGATGCAGATCTCTCTCAATCTCATCACACGCAAGCGAGCTGCTGCCCATACACTCCTCCAACAGCCGTCCATAGTATCCGGGGTGAGAGGTCATGTCATGTACTGCACCTATAACACAAGCAAACATGTACAAAACTGTGGCACATACAGTATACACCCACACACAACCAGAACAACACACACCTGAGAAGAGCATCCACAGTTCTCCTCTGAGGGTCTCTGGAACTCCTCGTACAATGAGATCCCCTGTTTTTTTGGTGCAAAACATTCCAGTTCCACGGCCATATTCAGTAAAATGGATCTGCCACGACTGCTCCTTCATTCTCTCCTTCAGCTGTCAATCACAATGTTAAAATAACCATTTTCTATTTGAATATATTTTCAAAATGTCATTTATTCCTGTGAAGGCAGAGCTGACGTTTCAGCAGCCATTACTAAAATCTTCACACAATACACTTTTTTCAGGATACTTTGATGAATAGAAAAAACAGAATTTATTTGAAATGCCAATCCTATGTAACATCACAAATGCATTTACTCTCACTGCTCCTCTCAATTTAATGTGTCCTTGCTGAATGAATATTTTAATCTCACTGACAACCAACCAACCTTTAAACGGTAGTGTATACCACATGTTTTGATTTCATTAATAATCTTTACTAAACTAACATTGCACCAATATTGCAATAAGCTTATTTGTACCATTTTGGGGTCAAGGTTTTCTGCATCATGTGGATGAAAGACGTTCATAAGAGCTTCAGTGCTGACGGCTTGACTTTGCCCCACCATAACACCCTGCTCATCCTCAGAGAGAAAAACACACACATGCAATCTAGTTTCTCCTCTGCCATTTTTACAGTTACCACAAAATCATACCATGAAATGCAGGATATTTTTAAATGATATGAAATATATTATCATGACAAGTGTTTGCATACTTAAAACACATCATTTCTAAGAGTGGATGCTGGAGTGTAGAGGAATTACCGGATTACTGATGTAGTGCTGGGGGCTTCCTGCTGTCCCACACTTTCTGCGGATGGTGGCAGCAAGTCGCTCAAAATCCCGAACCTCAGAAAAACGCAAAGCTCTCTTGCCACGAAGACACACAGTCAGGGCACGACTACCGCGATCTGGCAGCTCCACACTAAACACCTACAGGAATACATTAATGCCAAAACCACACATAAATCGGCATTAGTGAAATACAAACAGCAGAAACTTATGAACTCTCCAAAACTCTAAAAGTCTAAAGGCAGAACTGTGAGAATATGCCCATGGCCGAAAGGGGTGAAAAAAATACTCTGAACTTAAGTCTGGATTGATTGCTTAGATTCTGTAGGTAAAATATATTTCAAAATGTGTTGGTGTTGAAAGTATAATTCACACAAGATTATTCAACATCAACATAAAACAGTAGTTCAACTTTAACTTAAACACAGGGGCCAGTTGCATAAACATAGGCACTATGTTAAGACTGTGTCTTAAGAAATAGTTTGACTAACTAGCAGTTACCACTCTATAATTTTGTTACTAGCAGACCAATCTATCTTTTTGCAATGGACTTTAAGAAGTCATGATCAGTCTTTATGAAAACAAATTAGATGACTAACTACTTTAAAGCATAACAAAAGGCTTTTAAAACAATAAATCAAAAGTATACCTTTATTGCCTTATTATTACAAAGTGTACTAAAGTGTATTGAGAAACATAGTCATGAAAGTGTACTTTTTTTTAAAGGGGTGGTTCACTGTTTTTTTTCTAGGCTTGATTGTGTTTATGGGGTGCAGTCTAACATGTTAATGCTTCGTTTAAAAAAAACACATTCTTTTTCACAATGTACCTTTATTCCACACCGCTCTGTCCCTTCTCTGAGAAACGCGCTGATCATTTCCTTCTTTTATGAAGCCCCTCCCTCAGAAATAGGCTCTGATTGGTTAGCTAGCCCAGTGTGTTGTGATTGGCTAAACCGCCTCTAGTGCGCATCTAATCATCCCACCCCTCACCTCAGCGGCATGTGCTCCAGTTGTATTGTAAACAACGGCGTCGTTAATATCGCTTATCAGTTTGAGCTCGATTGAGAAGCAGAGGATATTAGTGAAGAGGATCGTGCAGAACCTGTGCAAGCATGGCTTTTAATGGTAAGCCTATGTTTTTTGTTTGTTGTTGTCTCATACTTTTAGATATGCTGTTATTTGTAAATAAGCTACTGCTTAGGTTAGCTTTTAATATACGGTTTTATCCTGATTAAAGCTTTAATACAGTATGGCAACTGCACGCGCATCCATGTTTAACACTTCTCATAGCTATGTGAAAATAAGTGTATAATTGGAACAGTTCATTGTTGGAGCTGAGCTGAGAGAGAGAGAGAGAGAGAGAGAGAGAGAGAGAGAGATGCAGAGCATGTGCAGAGCAGGGGGACGCAAGGAACAGTATTAAGAACCGCTGCTTTAGAACATTGATTTTGAAACTTGTGAATCTATTAGAATCGTTAGAAGACAGAATCGTGATTCATATATAAACAGATTTTTATGTGCACTCCTAGTTTTCTCTTCCTCTTCTCTAAAGCAGCGCAGCATGGCCTCGCCCCCTTTGCTGCCTTTTCCCGAGGGCGGGGTTTATCTGGGTTTGTGACGTCACAAACCCGGGAAGTAACTTGTTGTAGTTCCTACCAGCCGTTTTTTATTTATTAAACTGCCAGAATTTTAAAAGACGATATCTCCATTTGCATTGAACTTTCAGCTTTGTAACTTTGCAGATATTGCTTATGCTCAAACAGCAACATTACGCACTAACTAACGCTAAAAAAGTGAAATCGCAATGAACCACCTCTTTAAAGTACACTTAGGTGGCCTTTTATTTGATTTATATAATCTGCAAGTATAGTTTTTTTTAAATATACATTTACGATTTGAAGTACAAGTGCACATTCAATAATATTGCGCATGCTTTTTTTTTCTCAAGGGCAGTCTTCACCATGACATTCTTTGCAGTTTGCAGAAAACATACGCACCTCCCATAGAGGGATTATGAGATGGCACGGAGACCCATCTTGGCTTGCAAAGCACAGATAGTTCTCAGAGACACAGATTTTTCCAAGCGTATTGACATGGCTGAATGGAACCCAGAGGAAACTCTCATGCACTTCACAAAGATTCTCCTCCTGCGGCAACCGGAAAAATGCTCGAAATGACTGATTCCGTGCATGGATTTCCAGAGCCCTGCAACGATTACAGTAGAGTCAGACATCGTCCAGTAAAACAAAAATAGGTAACAGAGGAATAAAACTAATCCACCTCTGTGTGATGTGAAGAGGGTTGGCAAGTGGATGTTCAGCATTAAATGTTTCTTTGTCGAAGAAGCGCACAATGGCGTAGTCGGCCAGCTGCTGCATTATCAGGTATGTCTGCTGGAGCCTCAGGAGCATTGAGAAGAAATGATCCTCTCCACGCACACACACACGGATGCTCTCTGCCAACAACACACTCGACGTACGTTCCAGGCGGCTCACCTCATCCCAGGGATACACCAGTTTCACTAAGCAAGAAATGCACAAACCATGAATAATATGAGATCTTGGCAGATGCCAACTGTAACACTTATAAAGGCAAAACCATTATATATGAAGCACATAAGGTGTTATATGTGACCCTGGATCACAAAACCAGTCATAAGGGTCCATTTTTCGAAATTGAGATTTATACATTATCTGAAAGCTGAATAAATAAACTTTCCATTGATGTATGTTTTATTAGGATACGACAATATTTGGCCGAGATACAACTATTTGAAAATCTGGAATCTGAGGGTGCAAAAAAATCTAAATATTGAGAAAATCACCTTTAAAGTTGCCCAAATTAAGTTCTTAGCAATGCATATTACTAATCAAAAATTAAGTTTTAATATATTTACAGTAGGAAATTTACAAAATATCTTCATGGAACATGATCTTTACTTAATATCCTAATGATTTTTGGCATAAAAGAAAAATCTATAATTTTGACCCATACAATGTATTTTTTGGCTATTGCTACAAATATACCCGTGCAATTTAAGACTAGTTTTGTGGTCCAGGGTCACATATCTCTTATAATCCACAGAAGAAATAAAACCATACAGATTTAGAATGACATGAGGGTGAGTAAATGATGACAAATTTTTTGGGTGAGCTATCTCTTTAGGACTTTGATATGTGAATGTCCTCTGTTATAATTGGTTAACCTCTTTGCATGTGGAAAAAATAAGAGTTGTCCGAGTTGCTAAATAATGAATATTGATTGATATGCAAACTTACACTGCCATTCAAAAGTTTTGACATTTATTCCTGTGATCAAAGCTGAATTTTCAGCAGCCATTACTCCAGTCTTCAGTGTCACATGATCCTTCAGAAATTATTCTATATTGCTGCTTTATAACAAATGTTCGAAACAGTTGTGCAGCTTAATATTTTTTGGGACATGTGATACTTCTTTTTCAGGATACTTTGATCAATAAAAAGTTCAAAAGAACAGTGTTTATTCAAAATAGAAATTTTGTGTTACAATATTCTATATACAATATTCTAATAATTGTGCGACCATTCAAAAGTTTGGGGTCAGTAATTTTTTTCTTTTCTTTTTTTTTTAAAGGAATTAATACTTTTATTCAGCAAGGAATTTAATTTAATTTGATTGGGCTCAAAACTGTGTCTAGAGAGCTGATCTAACAGGCAGTAACACGTCTCCAAATAAAATTGTCTTTTGCTTGTTGCCATAGCAATCATGCTGATAACTTGGCATGGTACCTTCTGTGGCATTTAAGCAGAATTAAATGACCTCTAGATCTTTGGGCCTCTTGTTTTGTGCAGACGGTATTAAATGCATAGAACAAATCTTTAAATGTGTCGTAATAAAACTCTCCGATGGCTCAGATGACCCTGGGCTAAAGGTAGAACAGATAATTTGGAAACATAGTGGTAAGTCTGTGACTTGAGCTGACCTTCGCTTTTCAGCACGGAGATGGGAAAACTCCAATGCCTCGGGACGCAATTCTGAAATTGCTTACGTTGCACTCCTTTTGGGAAACTGCAAAAAGAGCCCAAAAAAGGAAAGTTTGAAATGGACCTTACTGCCCTCAGACAGAACAGAAGCTACTGGTGGAAAGAGTCTAATGTCTGTGGCTAAGAGATGAGTAATGGGAAAGATGAGTGTAGTTGCAGAGTGACAGATGCGCTCCTTCCTGCTCTGTCATTAGGCCGTCCCTGTGATCAACACAAGAAGACGAAGAGCCTGTTTAATGGTCCAAACCACAGCTATGGATGTGGTATTCTTCCTTTTTTGTGTGTGCGAGAATCATTTATATGTCATCACATAGGTAAGCGCTTGTAGCGGTTAGTAATGGCCTGTTTAAGTGAAGAGGGATAAAAACTTGTGCTCGAGTTATGAGAAATACATCTCCCTCGATAAAACGGGGCTTAGCTCGTACATGCATGACTCCAATAATTATATGTACAACATTTGTCTCTTTGCACTGGCAAATCTTATGAAGAAGCGTCAAGACAGTCATATTTTACCCTAAAATTACAAAAAAAAAAAAAAAAAAGTTTCTTATGCTCATCAAGGCTGTATCTATTTGATCAAAAATACAGAAACATTTTTGTGAAATATTATTGAAATTTAAAATAAGTTTTCTATTTTAACATACTTTAAAATATAATTTATTTCCGTGAAGCAAAGCTGAATCTTCAGCAGCCTTACTCCAGCTTTCAGTGTCACATGATCATTCAGAAATCATTCTAATATACTGATTTATATTCAATGTTGGAAACCGTTTTTGCTGCTTAATATTTTTGGGGACCTGTAATATCACGGTTTATTCAAAGTAGAAATTTTGTATTACAACATGCACTACTAATCAAAGGTTTTGGGGTCAGTAAATTTCCTCTCTTATTTTTTATTTTTTTTAAAAGGAATTAATACTTTTATTCAGCAAGGATGTGTTAAATGGATAAAAACAAATGAGAGTAATGTCTTACAGTATATTGTCAGAAAAAAATTATATTTGTTATTTTTTAACATTTGTAACATCCAAAATAAAAGTTTTTGTTTACATAATATATGTATGTGTACTG